GGTTTGTTTACACAAACCCTTACCACATGGCCGAGTGTGACCTCAAGGGAAGGCCTGCCTCGCTGGCACCTACACACTCCACAGTGCTCAACCCACACTTTAGTTCACAGATTTGCAGTTGCTGTCCAATCGGTTAAGGTAATCCTTCAAGTGACTGTGTTAGGAAGAACAGCTAATATTCAGTAACACACTGTATGAATCCTGCTCCTCAAATCCCAGTGTGTACTACCGTAATCTTAAAAAGATCACAGGTGCTCCACGCACACAGCCCTGCCTGCACATACGCTGAGGGGAAACATGAAGGTATGAGTGGGGCACTAAGGGTGTGACTGGGGCACTGGGTCTTGTCACACAGGGGAGGGTTTGAGTGTGGAATAATTTATTTTTGGTACAGAAAATATGCGCCATTGCATTTTACAGTACTGTATTATAAGTTATGTATCAATTTTATTGTTTATGAATTTATTTTTTTTAATTTTTGACCTGCAATTTGAAATCTGGTCAAATTAGGTTAACCTAGCTCATTGAATCGTTTAAGTCTGAACCATTATCATTAACATGGATTTTGCTTAATGTAAATCAATCAAGGGTGTTAAAACCTAATTATCATTAATGCGGAATATCGTGAGTGATGATCGTAAATGGGGATACCTATACTGTATATACAGGGGGTCCCAGACTTACGAAGGTCCAATTTATGAACACCCGCCGATACAAACGAAGTTAAACTTTAAATTTGCAGTAATTTATTTCCCTTATGACTTTTTTTTTTACTTTCATTTATTGTATTTTGTCATTCTACAGTATTTCTTCTTTTCTCTTAAATTAAGCGATTTTAGATGTATATAAGGACTTAGGCTATGATATAGTGGGGTTTTAAGCATTGTTCTGTAAGTATGGTATGCACATAGCATGACTTACGTACACTTCCGACTGAGCAATGACCTCGGGAACGGAACCCGTTCATATCCCTTGACTTCCTGTATAACAGATATGTCCTGGGTGAATATTGCAATAATGAAATAGTATTTTTAAGAGGTGTGACTGTAATTTTAATTTCTGGGTTTTTATGTTTTAGAGTCTTTTCATATTAGACACTGCCTTCACCAGGCTGAAGCATTATCCATCAAGGAGAAAAAATAAGACTAGGCAGGAATCATAAAACCTTATAACCAGATCATTTATTAATATAGTTTAGTATAAAATGACTAGACAAAACAGTCCCCTTTGTTAGCAGCTTTACTTGTCATATTTACACTTATCACATTGACATGGATCACTTACAGACATTCTTGGCATTAACAGATGATGATGTACACTGAGTGAAAGTAAAGGGTTAATTAACAAAAAGAATAATGCAACTGAGCAAAAGTAATGGCTGATCTTAAAACTGTTGGCAGTATACTCACTGAAAAGTAAAGTGGCATTAAGTTAGCTAATGACGTCTGATTTTGGCTTACATAATGGGATAATCCAGAAAACACAAAAGTTGCATATCAGGAATTAACAGTCATAGTAATATTGCCACCAAAACCAACTAACCCCCTATCACGAGAATTGCCATGTGCAGGCTGCAAAATATGAGGTAGGAAGCAATGCTCTATTATGTCTAACTTCAATAGGCACTGAAATATCACTTACCTTTACCTTAGAGAGCTTAACAATTTTAGAGCAAATATATATAAAAAATAAGTTTAATGAATACTGTATATAGTATATAATAAGAACAATCATTCTTCACAACCCACTCATTTAGATAGAACCTGGAAATATTGATTTAAAATTATGAAATAAGCACCAAATGCAATAGTACCAGTGTATCTCCCTTTAAAGAAATGTCTTAGGCACAGTAGTAAATAATAATTTTGGAAAATATAGGAAGCTTTGGAACTATATTAAGTGTTCATAAAATGGCTAGAATTCTCTTAATGGTGTTTGCCCTATACAAGTACAGTATAGTATGGTATATTTCCAGGCAAGGTCTCACCGAACCTGGCACCTTAACTGTGTAATCCGCTCTGCACATAGGTAATCACATTGACCACTGACTAATTGCCTGAAAAGTTTTCATGTCTTCAGGTCAAACCTGGATCTCAAGTACTGTGATAGAAGTGTTGCCTCTCCAATGGTTTCCATAGAGATTAATAGAAATGAAGCTTTTTATGCAGGTATGACAACTACTAAAAAATACTGAATCTTCAGTATTTGGACAGTTCCATTACACATATAAATTTTACCAGATAGTAATATAATTTGTTTCAATGCAACTCATTGAAACCAGAATTTATGAACTTTAGAACATTTAGGGTACAGTATTTGGTATTAGAATCTTAATAGAATATCATATTAATAAAGAAAAAAGTCTAACAGCATATACTGTACTGTATGTAACATTTACTGTATTTACTTTTTTATTCAAATTCTATTTTAATATGGAACTTATCATATATAAAATATAAAACAGGCATTTTGGCATCCATAAGCATACTTAAGAATTACTATTTTTAGTCATTTGTGAAATACTTTCTAGCTAATGCTTATATAATATAAATTTTTCTCTACAAACAAATCTACTTTAGAGATAACAAGGAAAGCTGTCTCATTGTCAATGTTAAAAATTACAATAATTCTGCAATTTAGTGAGCATTTTTGCTTCAATATGGTACTAAACATTTGTTTAATGCATTCTTCACTTACGTGATATTGAAAAATTTAGAAACGGTGATTCTAAATTAAGATGTGTTGGCCATCCCAAGGGTCGTTTTTAAAAAATCCTGGGTTACTCCTAGTCCACCCATCCATTACAAGTTGGAGAAGTAAAGTCAGTTGAGTGCAGTGCTGGCCACTGCCTATCAGATTACTGAAAGCTTAGTAGTACAGTAGCGTGTATGGAGTATTCACGCTACTTAATCATCCTAATGTGCCTTCATTGAGTCTTTGGAATCCACCTTCACTCTTATTTTAAAAGTGAAAATCACAAAAAAACTGTATAATATATCTCCAACTGTGATTTTACCATTTTTATTTAATTTTAATGTGATTAGAAAGGATATTAACCAGATTAATATAAATACTGTATAACAAAAGGAAGTAGATTAACATATGACCTTGTTAAAATCCATTCAACAGTGTCATGTTAAACTAAGGAATAACCAAAACCACTATTTCTTAAGCTGGTACAGTGGGTCCTCATTACTCACACAGGTTCTGTTCTTGGAAGTTCATACGTACAATAATTATACGAATAACAAAGTGTTTTTCCCCATTTAGTATACTGAACAGTAAATTAATGCAATAAGGGAGTTTAATGTTGGGAATGAAAACCTATAAAAGTTTTCTGGTAAGTGAGTGTTAAATATATACTGTATTGTACTGTCCATTAATAAATAAAAGTTACCGGTATCAGTATAGTACTGTACTGTTGAAGTAAGTAAAAGTGGTGTCTTAGAAACTTTTACTATATACAGTACAGTACTCTATTTCTCACTGGTTGTATCCTCATTGCCTTTAGTGTAAGAACATTAAATACTGCAGTATGTCCTTAATGTTTCACTGATTAAAGAACTTATATATTTTTAATACTGTAGGTTTCATTAAATAAGTTTAAAAGATTTAATAAATAAATATCAAGCAGACAAAAGATCAGCTGATGAAAATGGTGTCCTATTCTCAGTAGATGGCAGCAAATAGTTAAAATTACCAAGAGTTGTCAAAGGCTCGAATGTGAAAATCGCCAATAAGCAGGGATTATGGAATATGTATAACCGAGTACTGTATGGCATATGAATAAAGGAATTTCTGATGGTAAAAACTGTTAAAAGCTGTGTATGTGTAACTGAGTATACATTTAATACTAATAATGAGGACCCCCTCTACAATATTTGTGGTTATATTTACATATGTTTTGTCTAATGCAGTTGATTAGACAGACAAAGAATGGAACTACTAAAGTTACCATGACCAGACTTGGCCTTAGTTTTCCAGTTTAACAACATCAGACTTGTTTTACTGTATTTAAGATAACTTATCAGGAGAGATGCAATCAAAATTTAAATATGTTCTTGACAATTTGTCAATTGTATGTCTGAAAAGGAATATCTAAAGACATGTTTGATGTGATTTATGACTAAAGTAATAATCAACTGCAAGTTTAACATGTACAGGTTTTTCTTTTTAATGTGGATGTGCAGAGTGTTACCTGCACACTCAGACACTTGCTGTATACAGTAGAATGTCGATTTAAAGCGATTCAAGTTAAGATTATTGATTTAAAGCAACACCCACAATTAAGGACAATATTTTAATTTAAAGCAAATCTTTCCTATTTTGCGCAAGTCAATCTGGCGCATCATATTTAAAATTTTGCACCTAAGGTTTCTCTGGGCAAACTACACTATCCGAAGGGTAAAGCTGTACTGTACATGTCTACTGCAAACTATAGCATATTTACATTCAAATTAATCACTATCTTATAAGAATTCCAGCAATGTAAATTATATTCTCCCCGGTCACTTCTGTGACATTTTATAAGCAGAAAACATAAACTCAAGCTAAAGGACACAAATAAACACTTCACCAAACCTTCTGCCCCAACTGTCAAACATGTCACTGTCACTTCCCTACCCTCCGTCCTTCCCCCATCTTCCCAGCCAGGATTTGGTGTTTTAGGCTTTTAAGGTTTTATCCTATATAATGTCACAGACTTAAGTTAGGAGAATATAATTTGTATTGCTGGAATCCTTGCAAGACAGTGAATAATTTGAATATAAACGTAATATATTTTGCACGATAAAATTTTTGCTCTTTGTACTAAGATTCTTAAATTAGAACTTAAAATTTGTATGTCTAATGCAAGCTATAGCATGTTTATATTCAAATTAATCACTATTTTATAAGAATTCCAGCAATGTTAATTATATTCTCCTGTCAGTTCAGTGACATTTTATAAGAGAAAAACTTAGTCACTCTTAACGACAGATAAATAAATAAGCACTAGACCTTGGCATCAACTGTCAAACATATCACCTCACCTCTTCCCCCCCATCTTCCCAGCCAGTAAACAAACCATTTTGCATCCCTTAATTTTAGCTGTGTTGATTTATGAGTGTTTGTTTTAACAATGTTTGGTTTATTCTAAGAGATGGACTGGGGTGCATCTGGGTAGACTCTCAGTCTTTTTAGTATTTTGTGTTTCTCTTAAGTACCAAACTAAATTATTCCAGTGAAACAACACCTTGATTTAGTGCGAATTTGGTTTCAAGCGACTTCCTCTTGGAACATATCTTGCGTTATATCGACTTTCTACTGTATATTTAATATAAATATTTTAAAATTTTAAACTTTGATTTATTATTCACTAAATGCTACAAAGAGGTTTCAACTGCCTTTTTCGGTGATGCTGAAGAGATTGGAGTTGGTGTACGATGCATGTCAATGGGACTTGGAGGAAGTTGAAGACCATCTACCAAGACTGGGGAAGCTGTATGACTTGATGACTTGCTGCCACCAACCACAAGATTGGAGTTGACATTTCCAGTCAACATTTCAACCATCCTAGGAAGAAAATTTTTGTCAGTAGTCAATACATCTGTGTTATAGAGAGGACAGGGGGAAAAGATAGGAAAGGACAAGACGGAATAAACACCCCCCCCCCCCTCAACAACCCTTTTGTCTCTTCCAACTTTTCTGCTATAGCAGCCCTCCTTTGCCACTTTGAAGTATGCCTAACCCCTTGACCACCTGGGACACCCAAGACTAAACTCTAGGTCACCCGAGACGCCCAAGACCAACATATTGCACACCTGAGACACCCAAGACCAACCCCTTTTTTCACCTGAGACACCCAGGACTAACCACTTCTACACCTGAGACACCCAAGACCAACTTTTTGCTGACCTGAGACACTCAAGACTAACCCCTTGGTTACCTGAGACACCCAAGACCAACTTTTTGCTATCTGAAACACCTAAGACTCACCCTTTTTTCACCTGAGACACACAATAACCCTTTTTTCACCTGAGACACCAAGACTAACCCCTTAGTCACCTGAGACACCCAAGACTAACCCCTTAGTCACCTGAGACACCCAAGACTAACCCGTTTTTTCACCGGAGACACCCAAGACTAACCCCTTTTTCACTCAAGACTAACCCTTTTTTCACCCGAGACACCCAAGACTAGCCCCTTGGTCATTTAACCTCTAGGCTTTGGGTCATATGTGATGTGCATCTGTAAAGTTTCGGGGCACGTCATATGAGGTTTTGTTCTTTCGCTGGTCTATCTGAATAAAAAGGGCAGGCTTGGCTAGATTATATTGCAAAGTAGGCATTTATCATTCACTAACTCACACGTGAGAGCCTCCTCATCTCTTCTCAGCCTTTGTGATGTAGGAATTTCACACTTGGACTTGACCCACTTCATGTATTTCTACACCTAATCCCCAACCACAGGTCTGTTATCATGACCAATTACTGCAGCAATAATAATTAGTTAATATAAGGTGACAATCCCTTACCCTAAATCCTCGGATGTGTTTCTGATTTCAGAATGGTTAGGTAAGGTTAGTTTTTTTTATACAGGGATTAGTCCACCTGGGCACAGTCCCACGTCAGGGCCTGGGGGGCGAAAATATAGTAATAATAATAATAATTGGGTCTAGGTCATGTTTCTCACTTTCCATCTTTTTTTTCATTCTTGTAATTCTATATTTTATTTATATTTTGATTATTACTGTATTTTATTTGTGTATTTTTTATTATAAATTTTTTTTACTATGATTATTGTTATTTTTATTATTATTACTATTATTATTATTATTACTCCTACATTTTTTGCCCCCCAGACCCCAATGTGGGTCAGTGACCTGTGCGCGGGTGGGCTAATCCCCGTAAAAAAATAAAATGCTCCACTAAAAAAAATCTTTCAGTTTAACAATTTACCTTAATTATCAGTAATTTATATTTTACGTGTTCACAACTTCCTTTGTAACCAATGAATTTTTCTTCTGGATAAACTTTTTTATGTATTAATTTATTTTTTTCAAAATGTAGTACATGTTAAAAATTATTTTCAAGACAGTGTAACTTCAAGGGGATATGTGATGTTTGTGGCAACTTGGGGATGTGTGAGGCTCTAGCTATACAGTATGTCTGAGGAGGCTGATTGATGTTCCCATAATGTCTACATGATGCTTCTAGGGGTGCTCATAAGTTGTTAGTTGTGTACAGCTAATAAGGGCTATGTGATGACACCAAAGGCTGTCTGTCACTGCTAGGGACTGTGAGGCTGCCAAAGGCTGGGTGCTGAGGCTTGTCTGAGCCCCCTACAATAGAGAGGCGAGACACATCAACCAAGGTACACTGGTAGCCTTGCATGATCCAGGTTGGGTTACCCTTATGGGATCCTGTGTAAAAAGGTCGTAGTACCATAAGGGCAACTTAACCTAGCAGTAACACCCTCTGGTGTAAAATCATTGCAATAAATATTGCAACTATTTGTATAGTAACTTCACATGTCGTATAAATAAAAAAATTACACCTTTTTCGTTGTTTGTCCTAAGAAAAAAGTTGAAAACAAAAGGGTTCCAAAGGCAAAAATTATAAGAGCCAATTTTTCTACTTTCCCGAAAAGTAGAAAATCTATTTATGATCTTTTGAGAATTAGAAAGATTGTAAGTTATTTTTTCTCTTAAGTTCCAACTTATGATCTTTTGAGAATCAGAAAATCGTAAGTTCGAACTTAAGAGAAAAAAATCACTTAAAAGTATATACTTACGATCTTTTAAGAATTAGAAAGATCTTAAGTTCGAACTTAAGATCATTCTAATTCTCAAAAGATCGTCAGTATCTACTTTTAAGTGAATTTTTTCTCTTAAATTCAAACTTACGATCTTTCTAATTCCTAAAAGATCGTAAGTATATACTTTTAAGCTATTTTTTCTCTTAAGTTCGAACTTACGACAATTAAAAAGACCGTAAGTTCGGATTCTCAAAAGATCGTAAGTATCTACTTTCCCGAAA